AGATTGGATTTATACCCCGCCCTTCACTTGGAGTCTCAGAGCGGCTTACAAACTCCTTTCCCTTCCCCTCCCCACAACAGACACCCTGTGAGGTGGGTGGGGCTGAGAGAACTCTGACACAAACTGCTCTTTTTCAAGGACAGCTGTGCCAGAGCTTGTGACTGACCCAAGGTCACATCAGCAGGTGCAAGTGGAGGAGTGGGGAATCAAACACGGTTCTCCCAGATTAGAGTCCGTGCACTTAACCACTACACCAAACTGGCTCCCACCTCTTTTAAGCTTATTAGCCTGGAGGGAAGCTTCAAACATTGCTGTGTGCAGTGACAAGATACAAGCCAATGTCATGTTAGCTACGTCCTGGCTGTATATCAGAAAAGCTGGCCTAGACAAAACCGAAAGGCAGCTTGTTCACCATTTCTCACCCCCTCCTCTACAAAGTTTGAGTCCAGCGGCACCTTTAAGACTAACACAGTTTCATTCAAGGTGTGAGCTTTTGTGGGCACACACACTTCTTCAGATACAGTGAAATGGAAGTTAATAGTTCATACATATAGACAGAGGGTGAACAGCAAATTAGCGCACGACAGGATGAAGATGTTTTAACAGATGTAAAGACCAAGCAAATATAACATCTTTGCATCTGTTAAAACATCTCTATTATGTTCCAGGCTAATTTGCCGTTCACCCTCTGTGTGTGAACTGTTAATTTCCATTCCAGTCTACCTAGGGTTGCCAAACCCCCCGGTTTGCCAGGGGTCCCCCACCCCCAACACCCACAGCCACCCCTCTCTCTCCCTTTAAGTGTGTGGAACCCGTGTTTCCTCCCAAGCCCGATCTCCGCAAGCTTGCAGGGAAATGCCAGCTTCGTGCTCTTAAAAGGGAAACGCGGCTGCTCTTAAAGGGGAAACGCTGGCTCCTGCATTTAAAAGGGAAACGCTGGCTCCTTTAAGTGCAGGGAACTGCCATTTCTGGAGATCTGGTGCATGGGCGGGTGGGCGGATGTCCCCAACATGACGTCATCACGTTGGGGATGCCCCGCCCCCTCCAGGAACGCCCCCAAAGTCCCCCGCTGGGGGTGGAAGATGGACTTGGCAACCCTAAGTCTACCTGAGGAAGTGTGCCTTGCACACTGAAAAGTATGCAGACGGAGAGTGATTTCAGCTAAGCATACCTTTATTTAGTTCAGGACACGAAAGCTCATACCTTGAGCAAACCTTTATGGGTCTTAAAAGGGCCGCTGGACTCAAACTTTGTTCTGCTGCTTCAGACCAGCTTGGCTGCCCACCTGGATCCCCCTCCTCTACAGCTCAGGAGTTTATTGTGTACCACATGCTCAGCACACATGTGAAGGTCAAGAGACCCAGCCGGGGGAACACTTTAGAATCGAGGGGAATGCCCTGCAACGCACAGGATCCCTTATCTGGTGTGCAGCAGTGGACGGTAAGACACAGGGAGGGCAAAACAAACTTGACCCAAAAAACTGGAATCAAGAACCACGAGGGTAAGAAAGAAGTCTAATTAAGGGCCAGGATTAAAAACCTAGTTGAAATAATGTACAAAAATACATGTATTTATTAGAAAGACGGTTAAAAACATATAAGGGCCCAATGAAGACCTCGTAAAAAGGTTCAAGTGGCCTAAACTCAAGGGCCAATACACATGACCTGACACGTTTCCGTCCTATTGGGGCCTTCTTCAGAGGTCAAACAGTGTTGAGGTACACGTAACATTAATACATATTAAAATAAGAGAACCAATAAGTGAATTCTGGACCAAAGAAAAGGAAGGCTGTAGGAAAAAAGATAAAAAGGAAATTGAATATGAATGATCAATTTTTTTTAATGTTACGTGTACCTGGGGGGCAGGGAAACCCCCGCCCCAGAGGCCCGTTCCCCGCCGCTGGCAGATCGGGTCCCGGGGGGAGCCCCACCCCGACGTGCACGTCACCCAGAGGTGACGCGACCATGCCGGGCATACTGGGGGTGGTGCCACGGTCATCCAAGGGGAAAACATAGAGTTTTCCCTTGGATGACCGTGGCCTCGCCCCCGGCACGCCCGGCATGGCTGTGTCACTTCCGGGTGACGTGCTGACGCCGGGCATGTCCCGTGCTTTGGGGGTGGGGTTCCCCCCGGGGCCCGATCCGCCGTCGGCGGGAAACAGGCCTCTGGGGCGGGTCCCCGGGGGGACTTGGCAAGCCTATAGGGTGGAAACGCGTCAGGTCATGTTTCAACTAGGTTTTTAATATTGGCCCTTTATTAGACTTCCTTCTTACCCTCGTGCAGCGGCGGACGTCAGTGTGAAAAGTCGTACTGAAAGGCAGGTCTGAGAACCACTGGTCTAGATGGCACACACAGACATGTAGGGTTGGATGCAAAGGTGTCTTCGAAGCAGGGGGAGGAGGGACTTTCGCTGATTCTCCTTCCTGCAGTGGGCCTCTAGATTGTACTATACCCCGTCCGTGAGAGTCCCAGCCTTCACTTCCGTGGAGCTGCATTTCAGGAGCACAGTGGGAGGGAGAGTTAGGAAAGGTCTGTTCCATGTGTGGAATCGGTACAGAATGTTGTGGCAAGGCCGTTGATGAGTTCTAGCTACAGAGATCAGATTGAACCTGTTTTAGAGTAGGGTTGCCAAGTGTCACTTACCTCTTCTGTGGGGGATTCCCGGGTGGTTCCTGGAGCGCGCGCGCACGCCACATACACATCACCAGGAAGTGACGTTATGATGCCGGGCACGCTGGGGGCGTGGCCACGACCATACAAGGGGAAACCATAGTTTTCCCTTGTATGGCTGTGGCCCCGCCCCCAGCGTGCCCCGCGTGCCCGCATCACTTCCTGGTGACGCGCATGTCGGGGAGGAGGTCCCCCCGGGGCCCGATCTGGCGG